AAAAGGTTATCTACAAAGTAGTCACAGTTTTCTTCTGTACCATTCACAATCTGATCATCAGTTCCTGATTTACACACCCTGCAGAACAAAGACAGAAGCAAAAATGACTCCTCAGAGGACATATTAGAAGACAAGTAGGTACCTCAGAATCTCAGCACCAAGTATAGAAGGTGGCACATTCCCCTACACCCAGCTTACTCAGTTTATTGAGTACAAAACATCAGGTCAACTTTGCATTGTGCCTTTTCTATAAACTTCTTACCAATTTCTAACTGCTACAATTTGCACTTCAAAAGCACAAGCTAAAGAACACCATCAAAAAGATGAACTAATCTATGCAAAGCTTCTAAACTTGGTATCAGAGCCAGGAATGCAAGTTAAATTATTCACACTTCTAACCATCATACACCTAGCTGCACACCAATGAAAGGCTTTCCTTAAAGCATTCTGTTATATGGTTCCTTTGCTGTAAGTTTAAAAAAAATACAAGAAAATTGTCCTAGGATTTACTCATCAACCCCAACTTGAGCTTCCCTGTTCCTAGCACCATCCCAGAACCACCATTATTGTTTTGGAATGTGCATTAGGGAAACTCAAGTAATTCAACACCACTGGAGCACACTGAAAAAATACAATGAAAGCCTTCACACTGTGGATGGAGACTGCCAGGGTATTAAAAAAGATGCATCAACCACATCTTTTTATAGAACATTGTATATGTGACAGCTGTTTGTTAGATTTCACCAATCAAAATGCAGAAATATGCAACTGAATGATTATCTCAGTATAGGTTCTTTGCATAGTAAGAAGATTATGCAGCTTTTTGTAAACATTGCAGGAGTTACTCCTATGGGAGATTCAGAAAAGTATATTTTAAGCAATTCAGAAAATAAAAATCCCAGCTCTTGAAAAATTATCCAATTTTCCACAAAACTCTGCATTGAATTCAAGAGCAGCAATACTTACTGGAATGCTAATTAGATACATTTGCATAAAATTGAATTGTTTGCAATGCACCTATGCAACACTAAGAATCCCTGGAGATTAACATCTTGAACAAAAGAAAACCTCAATAACTTTAAAGAAGAAATTTCAAAAGTATGCTGTCCGCGTTTTAGTTTTGTAATAGAACAAAAGAAACTTGAAGCATCAATGTAAGTATTCACTATGCTTTACCTCAGAAACAGAACTGGAAAAGCAAACACCTCCACATCAGATGCAGAGCTGCACAGTGAGTTCGCAATTTGAAAGGCTGCCTTGCTATTTAAAATTAAAATATGTACACAGCTTCTTGCATCTAGGAAACATTTCAGGTATATGAAAAATCTTTCAGCAAAACAACAGGATTTTTTTTAAACTTTCCATACATGTGGAACAGATGAATACGGTAAAAATACTGTGGTTTAGGATTTAACACAAAGTCTGAAAAAGTAATGACAGGACACACAAACAGCAGTGGGAAAGGAAGACAAAAAATGGGGAGAACCTACCATTCTTTCTTTACAGTTTTGATATTGTCCATGTCTTTCATTCTGGTGCTTCCCCTAATTACAAAAAGAAAATGGTTTAAAACTCAACGAAAACAAAATGCCTATCACACTTTGCCTCCTTTTGCAGCTGAAGCACTCTTTATATTTTTTCCTGTGTTGATAATACATTTAACCAGAAACCTCAACCTTGCCCCCCACCAAGTCTCCAGATGGTTCTTTGTTTTCCTGCAGTTTCTAATTTAATGACACATGAACCACACATCTGTTCCAGACGTTCAGGAGCAAGGTTACTTTTTCATAAATGTACAAAATACATTTCACAATAACAACAGTGTGATGTGAAAATACATGCCCATACTTCTGTAAAGGGAGGAAAAAAAAATCACAATCCTTTCCTGATGGCATGGTTTAAACTTCTCTGATTTTACACAGCATTATGAGATGGTTGCAGAAAAACTGCACTGCCACTGCAGGCATTTGAGTGACCTTCACCTTAACTGTGCATTACTTAAAGGAGCAAGATTTGTCAGGTTACCCTTCCTACCTTACCTCAAGACATTGTTGCAGCAACACAGAAACTGTGAATTATCATTTCTGGCCCAGTGTCAGCTGGCATGAAAATCCTGGATTTGTAAGTACTAAGTATGATACAGAATTAGTCTGCTGAGTCTAAAGAAATGAAGAATCCCACACTGATCTCATTACAGTCACTTTTAAACGCTCTGAAGAAAGTCACAGTAAGTCACTTAAAGCCAGAAACTCCCAAAAACACCCTTAAAAATAAAATCACTCTAAAATTGGAAAAACCCACAGGAAAACAGAAATTTTCAGTTGCAACTGCATTCAGAGAGTCATCCCTGACAACCACTGGTTACACAGATGATGGTCTACTCCTGGCAGTTCAGGACTAAGTTATGACATTGTGTGTGGCTTTTACAGAGCATCAAACTAAGCAGTGACAGCCATCACACTCCTGAACAAAGCAGCATGCACAACACCACTAATATGAATTTTACGTGATTTTGAGATCTAATTTAACAAGATGCGGAGTTTAGGGGAAAACAATATCCACTGCAGCACAAATTAAAAAAAATTAAAAAACAAAAAAAACCCCATCACATGCAGCACTAATTCATGCTCCTCGGTACTTGAATACTGGTATTCTTTCAACTTGAAACTTAAAATCCATGTGAGATACATTCTGTAGAAAAATATATAATCCTTCAAAAAAAACCCCTACAACAGTCAACATTAAATTTACCTGGCGCTGTTATGCATTAAGTCAAAACTTATTATGCACACCTCTGACATGTTACACAAGATATGGTCTTTTTTTCTCCCCCCACAAATGTTCTGCCAGAGCCCTACATGTATCAGGCAAGCCTGTGCTGGTACATGATGATGTTATATTCATATCTGTTTGTTGCTCTTGGAACTCTGTACTGCACTTGGGAAAAAAAAGAACTCTCAGTATCAAGTGAGCAGAGTGAAACTGGAATGATGAAAAAGTGTAATTTTCTCAAACTTCTCTCAAATTCAGTTTTAGTACTCTAGCATGTAGGGTTTTTTTGTGTTTAGCCCAAAGTAATTCTTTGTGGTTTGTGTTAATGTGCTTATCTTCTAATCTTTCCCTCCAGTAGGCTACTCCCCAAAGCAACAAGAGCCACCTCCTGCCATCTGCTTTTGTTGATCCTCTGTGACTTGTCATCAGAGCTGTTAAAAAGCAACAGACACAATGAAGCAGCTCTTCAAATTAGCTCTTTGGCTACATTAGGCTGGCCTCAAATGTGCATGAATAGTATTCAAAACTGGTCAGCTGTGAAAGCTGCTGTTCCTTCTAAAGTACAACAGCAATTACACTTCGAAGAAATGTTTGTGTTAATCTCTCTAGGTGAAGAATCATCTTATACAGCGTATTGATGTTTATTATAGCCAAAAGCTGTTAGAACATAGCCATCAGAATGCACTGCAAGCACTTTAGCTCAGCATGTCAACCCAGCCAGCACAAACCACCTCCTCCCACCAACTTCTGACAGACATCCCTAGCTGCTGTTTAAAATGTTAAGAATTTTGGTACGTAATTTTTGCATCAGTGGCAAAAAGTACCTCAGAACCGAACTACCTCCTCCGGAAACTAAATTTAAAACAGGGGAAGAAGCTGCAAATGCCAGCAGCTCACCATAGCTACATTTATGAATTGGGGTTAGGATACTCCTTACCACTCCCACACAGCCCCAGGGGTTTCCAGCCCCACCAGGATGAGCCACTGACCCAGCAGTGGCCTTTCACAGCCAGGGTTTCCAAATAGGCAGCCCTCAATAAGCATGTTTTTTCTGGCAAATAATTTTATGGTCAATACTTTTGAGCCCACGTTTCCAGTTATTTTAACACAAGAGAAACAAACCAGAAACTATCTGTGAGGATTTCCTCGCTGTGAAGGGCAGAAATAGCCACAGAAGCACATGCAGCCCCTCCCCTGAAAGCCTGCTAACCCCTTACTAACTTTGGCAGAACAAATTCTCCAGTTGAGAGCTGCACAGCACAGCACAGCCTGTCCCTGCACAGCACAGAAATTACAGCTGAAAATTGCACTGTACTGTGCCACAGAGAGATGGGAGGCTACAGAGAAATGGCAAGTACAAATTAATAGTGAGATGAGCATCAAACCTAATGGCCTGAACGTGACTGATGTGCTCAGGTACAAACCACAGCATTCACGCTTCCTCTCCAGCTGACTAAAGGAGCTGTACACTCAGAAAGAAACCTGTCCCCAACCTTGATGTCCAGGTGTTAGAAAGATACATTACTTGTCTGTAGAATTGCCTTGTTAAGGTTTAGGACTTGACATGCTTCAACAATCTCAGGTCTAAAGGGGAGGCTAAACAAAGCTTGGGAAGAAGGATATACCACTGATGGTGGACACAAAGAATGCACAATTTACAGGCCACAGGGACACTGGGCAGAACTTCCATGATAAGGAAGAAACTAATAAAGCCAGCTCAGCAACTGTGCTGAAATCACTTCCAAGTGGGTAAAAGGTAAATCCAGCAGGGGAAAATCGTGAGGAGCAACTTACAGAACACCAACTCAAGAAAACCATCTACCTAAAAGAAGAGAAAGACCGAGCACACAGGCTAGCATGAGAAGCAAGGGAATAATTAAACCAATAAAGACAGAATACTCGCTAATAAGAGAACTATGCAAACTTGTAGCCAGTGAACATTAGCGTCTGTGCTTGTTAACATGTATAAAGCGTGAGAAGTTTTGATAGTCGTGCTGGCTTTGTGGATTTACCACCCAGCCCGTCTTTCTGCTCAGAACCGCAAATAAATCAAGTACTTCGCCTCTGTGTGTGGATTAGCCTCATGCACAGCAGGTCAAAGAACCTATTTTGGGACAACCCCGCGGCCGCGACACCTGAACTCACCCGCACCCCGAGAGCCAGGCCGGGCACAGGCTCCGCGCCTCCCGCCGCTGCCAAGCCAGCCCGCCAGAAGGTATTTTTAGGCGATGAGGCAACACCACGGTACCGACGCGGAGGCGGAACGCCCAGGGAGCCCCGGGAGGGGCCAGGCCGGGCCCCCCGAGGGTCGCTCCTGCTGCGGGACGCGGCCGACTCGGAGCAGGGCGAAGCCGCAGGGCGGAGGCAGCGGGGAGGCTCAGCCCGCCCGCCCCGGGACGGCCGCGGGCAAAGTCCGAGCGCCGGCAGGAGCCGAGGGAGCGCCGGCTCTGCGGAACGCGCTGCCCCTGCCCAGCCTGTCCCCGCAGAGAACTCACCCGCCCGTCCCGCAGCGCCCAGCCCGGGACCGACCGCCCGCCGCGAACTCCTCGGTGTCCCGCCTTGAGCGGCGCAGGCGCGGCGGCGCCGGGCGGGGCGGGCAGAGCTCCGCCCCGGTACCGCGGGGGGAGCAAGGGGTGTCCGTGAGGATCCGCACCCGCTGCGCCGGGGGAAACGCGGCTTCCCCGGGGATTGCCCTGCGCTGCATTGTCCTGTCCTGTCCTCCGGGGAGGGGCGAGGGCTGGGGCGCTTGCGGCTCGGCGCGGCCCGCCTTTACGAGCCGGAACCCCCGCGCCGCTGCGGCGCTGGCCAGGCAGGACCTGACACAGCAGAGATAAACATCCCTGCCCAGCCTGAGACTGCGAAGACAGCTCTGTCCCGACTGCGGAACAAAGGACAGTCTGCGTGTCCGTCTGTCAATCCGCAGCATCTACAACAGTGGGAAATGGTGCCTGTGTTTGGGCACCTGCCCGGCCCCGGCGGGAGCAGCCGCACGCCGAGCCCTCCGGAGAGCGGCGAGGGCTCATTGTGCGGCGAGCGCTAATTACGGGCCAGTGTTGACACATGTGAAAAGGAGCTCAGCCGAGGCCTCGCACCGAGCACAAAAGAGCGGCGCGCTGTCTGGGAAGCAGAGCTCCCGAGGGTGAAGCAAACGGGAAAATGGGATGGGATCCTCGGGGAGGGAAGGAGGATTGAGCCGAGTTCGCTGCGCTGTGTTGGGCCTTGGAGAAGCCGCTCTCTGCGGGACGAGGAGGTCCCGTGGTGGTGCCGGGAGCTTTGCAAGTATCCAAGGACAACACCACGGAAAAGCTGCCAGCCCCTAGAAACACACACCGAGCAGTGAACGCATCCCTTGCACCTGCGGGCTGTTCAATAAGGGTTGGGGTTTTTTCCCCTCCAATGATTAGCGATGCACTGTAAAACATTTAGAATTAACCCAAACTGAACAGCCACAACTATCTAATTCACACTAATTAATCCACTGCAAATCCACCGCGAATTTACAAGTGCGATCAAAGGTAAATGTAAAAGCAGAGGTAATACTTCATTGAGTGTCGTCTTCACGTGGGACACGTTTCTGCAATCCCTTAATCACAACAATTAAAAGCACATTGTTCAGAAATATTAAAATAAGATGCTTAGTCTCAAAGTTCAGTGATGGGTGAGTAACAGAAGTAAAACCTGACACTTGACAGCTATAATTTCTTTCTCTTTATAATGCACGTCACAATGCACTGATCCTTTTGAAGGCAGTTTGGATTAATTGCTAAGTTTTAACTGGGTGAGATCTAATTAGAGCTCCTACTTATGAATCTTCAGGGAAGATAGTAAGAAATTTGCCTTTTGTTTCGGTTAAAATACTTGGAGTCTTATATTTCAAAACACGGACTGCAGAGATTCTATTCTCCCTGGTTTTGTTTAATGTTTGAAATACTTTGACATTTTAGAATAGAAGGTACTTCTTTGTTACAAGTGTTACTGATTCTATTAAACAGGTTTTATATATTTAGAACTTAAACCACAGATATCATGACTGTAGAAAAGTCAAGGAATTTACAAAACCCTAACTTCAAACATCAGAAAGTTGTTTTGCAGTGCTGGACTGTTTTAAATTTTATTTCAATATTTTAAGTACACTATCTCCATTTCATTAAACACACAAGTTCATTAATATGCTTAACCCTTTCCTGAGGGCCCTTTCAGCAACAATTTGACAGACCCAAAGGTAAGCATAGAAGGAGGTGAGGTTGGACTTACCTGGTGTAATGGTGCAGGTGTCCTGGCTCCAATCACTTACTGGTTTAGAAGATTAGGTCTATTACTGGAAATCAGAGTACAGCTGGAGACATGCTGACCTACTGCAATAGGAATCAGTGTCCTAGTGAATTTGGTTTCTTAAAAGCTCTTCTAAGTAGTGCTGTCCTCCCTTAGGAGTCAAACTGTTGACAAAGCATAGGAGTAACAAAAATCTTCAGAAAGATCTGCAACTCTTATATAATGTAAAAATATTTTCTTTAAAGCTAGAAATTTCCAAGTTAGAGTGTTGTTACAATCAAGACATCACTAAAATCCTTTTAGACTCTGTGCATTTAATACAGCTTATTCTCTGGCAGTACACTAGATGAACAGAAGCAAATGGTCCTTTTCTTACCGTGTGGTGAATAGAAGAAAACAGCCCAGGCTGTGTCTGCTGAAAAACCTCTAACAGGGTATTCATAAGATGAATACAAGCATCTCATGCCCCTTTGTCAGGAGAGATCAGATGCAGTGGCGTGGAAGACAGTGACAACCCCCAGACTTGTTTTATAATGTAGGAGCGAATCTCGGTGTTGACAAAGTAAAGCAGGGTTTTAGCTGTCACTGCCAGACCTGTCAAGGTCACAGAAGAACCAGCCACACACAGGGCATCTAAAAACAAGCAGAAATTAATTTTGAAGGGATATTTTTAAACCTTATATTTAACAAGGTTAGACTATGCCAGAGGACACTGTCAGCTACCTATAATTAAACATCAGCCGTATTGATTGACCTTAACTTGGGAGAGGAGCTGTTGCCTGAAGCCTTTTGCAAGTGTGTGTGCACACAGAGTAGGAGCACACTGTGAGGGAACTGGGACTGCAAAATAAATACAAGAACAGGGTCTGGTTGTCCTGTAAATGGCAATTCCACTGACTAAAACAACACGTTCCTCTGCATAGGATGAGTGGTCCTTGAAGTAATGTTAAACCTTCTAGGCTGCCACACAGAGGGGAGTAGCTTAAGGAACTGATGTTTCTAGGAAGTCAGCTATGCACTGGAAAAGCAAGTCATTGTTTCATGGGTGAATCAGCATTCATGACAAGGGTATTATTCCCATGCATTGAAAGAAGTAACCACACATTGCTGGACCCTTGGACTGTAAATACACAAGAAAATTGAATATAGCTTCAATTTTAAAGTTAGTGTGAAATGCATAAGCCCATGAAAAATTCAAGGCAGCCTGAGCAACTGTTTGTACCAGATAACACACATTTGGAAATAATGTATCGTGAATTCTCAAAGACACTTTTAAGTGAAACTACAACGATGACATAGTGGTGTATTTTATGAGCTTGTTCTTGGACCAGGAACAAAAAACCACACTTTGAAACCTAAGTTTGTGTGTGAGGACTAGAGAGATTTATGAACCAATAATGTTTTTGATGAGCTTGCCATGTGATCCTAATCAAGCCATTATGCATTTGTGTGGTGCTGAAGCTTATCTACACACGTGTTCATAAATGCCTACTTTTATTGTGAGCATTTTAGGACAGAGTCTGGTTTTTACTACAAAGCTATACATCACCCAGCATAGTAACAGGCTGGCGGTGCTACTTTCATATGATTAATGATCATAAGCACCAAAGTGAGATGATTTGCCACTTTTGTCCAAGATGGAAGTAATTTACAGCCTGAATGATAGTGAAAAACAGACCCTGCAGATGCCTGGCTGCAATATCATCAGCCCATGAGTTTCACACAATTATTATTATTAGAAAAACTATCTACTGTGACCTTAGCTCAACAGGAAAAATATTATGGAAGCTAATGGCCAGATGTGATGGCAAGATAATTTTGAAATATTAGGAGGGAAGTTTTACCACTCTCTTTTAATGTTCTCTAAGAAACCTACTCTCTGATCCCTCTTCAAGTTGCATGGATGTTATCTAGTGTGGAAAACAATCTTCAGATAGGTGTGCTGGACATTAAGTGTTTACTTTGAAATCATAACTATTACCCATTTTTAAATGACAGTGGTAGTCTTCAAATAACGAGCCTTTTATAAATAGCAAAATGCCTGCAATGTGGAGTGATTGTATCATGTTCTCTGTTCCAGTTCAATGTAGTACCAATCTTGATTCCTGGACACTGCTTTTTTGAAGTTTCCAAACTGATATCCCATGGGCCTGTCTTCATAATGGACAGTTCTCAAAGGAGTAACCACACAATCTTAATTTCCTAACATGCCCCTCAGGAAAAAGCTTAGGGTGCATTTACAAAAGCAAGATCTCTTGTGAATCTTTTTTTATTTCAAGATTCAACTGAAACCAGGAGGAGTTGACAGCATGATTGAAAGGCACACATATGAGCTTATAAATAGAGGCCTGAAAAGATGATTTGATTTCCATTCTTTGGAATGTTACTGCTATTCAGAGATATTGCAAAGTAATCTCTGGTAAATTGCCTATGATTGAAGCAAATGGTAATTCACTGAATAGAGCCCTCTGGTCCTTACTAGAAAGAAAGTCTGCAAAAGTTCTGAATAAGGGAGGAATGACTTTTTCTTTTGTTGTAATTCCTGATTTCCTGGTAAAATAGGTACATGTGACAACAAAATCTTCCATAATATTTCTTAAATGGTAATTCACTGAATAGAGCCCTCTGGTCCTTACTAGAAAGAAAGTCTGCAAAAGTTCTGAATAAGGGAGGAATGACTTTTTCTTTTGTTGTAATTCCTGATTTCCTGGTAAAATAGGTACATGTGACAACAAAATCTTCCATCTCCTAATATTTCTTGTGTCATGAAATGTCATTCATGCAGCAAACAAGGTTTTCCATCCTGTGTAATTTTTTAACGTCTTTTTACATCATGATGTCCCGATATGACTTCATTCCCCAACTCTTTTTAAATGGAAAGGGACTCTTTTGCTCAAGTAATTTTTCATATTTTTCCAATTTCCCAGTGGTGTACCTGCCTTGGCAGATGGTGTGCCTTCTTCTTAATACATTTTTCAGATACCTTAATCTCTTTTCTGAGCAACTGGAGGTAAAAGGACACTGAACACTGCTGTAAGCTTCAGCATTCATTATAAACTGGTTCTGTTTGAAATATGGTCCTTCCTATTGGCCTTTATTTGTAGAAGCATTTAGACATCCTTCTGTAAGACCAAATTACAAATCTTGAAAGTGAATGAGCTCTACATTTGCCTTCTTCTTAATACATTTTTCAGATACCTTAATCTCTTTTCTGAGCAACTGGAGGTAAAAGGACACTGAACACTGCTGTAAGCTTCAGCATTCATTATAAACTGGTTCTGTTTGAAATATGGTCCTTCCTATTGGCCTTTATTTGTAGAAGCATTTAGACATCCTTCTGTAAGACAAAACTACAAATCTTGAAACTGAATGAGCTCTACATTTTTTTTAATGTAATACATAGTGGAATGTGGCTTCAGTCCTTCTTCCCCTAATTTTTTTTGTCTCTTGCTTACTCAGAGTTCTTACATTTTTTTTCTCACTCAAGCCTTTCCTGCATGTAGAGTGCTGAAGGGAGTCTAAATAGGTTTCTAATGCTGTTCTGTCTTCATATGACACTTGA